TTTAATTAATAAACCCAAGTATAATAAAAGCCCATGCTCATATTATGCTTAATGCTAATAACACAGAAAACATCCAATTTTCATAAGTCAACAATACTAAACTATTTTTTAAAAGTTTCACAAATCACAATAATCTGTAAAGAATTTCATTTTGTGTATTTTTGATAATTTTGGAAATATTTAAATTTGTGTAAGTGTTCACTGATCTCTGAGAGGAGGTTTTCTGTGGGACTCTGAAAATGATCTCATTCTCAATTTTCATTAGATCAAGTTTTTAGATTCCACTATGAGTGATATAATTGAATATCTATCTCCCCATGCCTTGATTATTTGGTTATTATTTTCCAGGTGTATCGATGTGGCTGCAAATGATGGGATGTCACCCTTCATTATGGCTGAGTAGCAACCCGTGGTGCCTGTGCACCTTTTCTTTATCCATTTGTCCATCACTCAGGTTGACTCCACATCATAGATATTGTGAATAGAATTGCAATAAAAATGGGAAAGCAGGTGTCTTCAATATGTGATGTTAATACTTTTGGCTGCATACCCAATAGTGGAATTTCTGGATCCTCGCTTTTTTTCATTTTTATAGTATTTTTGATAATGAATGTACTAATTTACATTCTCACAACAGTGAGTAAGTATTCCTCCCTGTCCACAACAAGTTGTTTGTATTACCATAGCCATTCCATTGGTCTGAGGTTGCATTTAATTGTGGGTTTAATTTACAAGTTCCTGATGTTTAGTGATGTTGTTTCCATTCTAATCATTTTTAAAAGGGCAAGTTGGGTCCGGGGATTTAGCTCAGTGGGTTCAGGTGCCTGCCTTTCAAGCTCAAGGTCCCGAATTTGATCCCTGGTACCAAAAAATAAAAAATAAATAAAAAAATAAAAAGGGCAAGAATTTCCAGTTCACACTCATCCTTACAAAATAATTTTTTTCTGTTTTTCAAGGCTTTGAAATAATTGCTCAGTCACAATTTTTATAGGAAGAAGGCTGCTTGGTGCAACGCTATTTGAAGAGGAGTCATTCCTTCTCAGTGGACAGCCCTGTAACTGCAGCTGCAGAGAGTGAGTAGAGGGGCTGTTCAGAGTAAGAGGAAACCAGGGAACACAGGGACAGCTGCTACTATTGGAAAAGAGACACTTTTCTGAGACATAAAGTCTACGAAACCAACAAAAGACAAGACAGATTGGAAAAATTAAGTACTGTACCACACAGGATTTAATATACAGAAAATATTCCAACATTCTGTGAATAAGAAATAAAAGAAAACCAATAATCTCATGTAAGCAGGCTAGAGCTACACATAAAGAGTTAAAGGAAAATAAAAAACAACAGGTTTTTAATCTAACTCTGCAAAGACAACTTTAAAATTGTACTAAGATAGCAGTTCTAATTTTCAATTGCAAATTTTCTTTTTAAAAATTATTTCACTGATTTTTAATTTTTATTTTTATTACTATACATGTACATAATGATTCCCTTCATCATGGGAATTGATGTAGGGACATAACACAGACCCCCAGCCATCTGTCACCCTGTGGCTGTGCATACCTTGTGAGGAAAGCAGGACTCCACACCTGTTGGAGGAATTTGGGACTATCTGTCACATGGCACAGGGAATAAATGAAAAAAAAATTAACCATGACTCTTGCCTTCCCCAGCCTGGTTAGTTCTGTGGTTGTTCAACAGTGCCAATTGTTAAACAGCAGACATTCACCTCAGTTCCGTAAAGAAAGAAGCCACTGATACAACTTCCCATTTTCCCTCCTAAATTCTCACCTGAGCACCTCACTTCAGGATATTGCTGTGCTTGCCTGGCATGGTGCAGTCTCAGTTTCTGGTGGAGCAGGAGAGGGGACACAGAGTTCTGTACTCTGTGCCTTGTTGGATCCTCACTGGGATGTGGCTTATTGAGAAGTCTCTGGAGGACTTTTATAGGTAAAATTTGAGAACTAAAGTGCCTGGTTTTCTTGTTGTCTTTTATGCAATTCCAATATCTTCTGTAGCCTCGGTGTCTTTTGTGCATTGCATTTCCCATTCCTATGTGTTGCTGCCTTTGCACACACTTCAAACCTGGGATACAGTGATCCTGAGGCCTCCTCAGAACCCAGTTTATCCTGGCTGTCATGATTTGGGTCTAGATGTCCCTCCAAAGCCTCATGTGGTCATAGGCTTGATCTACAGTGTGTGAAGCTGGAATTGATTCATGATGTAATGCTGGGCTTAAGGGAACTAGAATTAGGGGTGTGAGTACTACCAGCTCTAAGTAATCTGAATAAGATTAAAG